TTTCAAGGAACACTTATTAACAGCGGCTTAAAGGCAAAAAGAAGAACTTTAAGTCAGTTTATAACTGTGACTGAATTTATTGATGACTCAATGTCATTATTTAATAACTGGTATTTGCAGGCTAAAAATATTCACCTACTTTTTACCGAAATCCTCGCCTTTCGGCCTGATTATTAAACAAAGAACGTAAAAAATCCCCGCAGAATTGCGAAAGTGATTTATGATTATAATAACTACATAAACACCAAAACAAACGTGCACAAAGTGGAACATGTTAAATGGATAAAATGCAGAGCAACGCAGAAGTGCAATACGCGAGAAATCTAGTCAGTAAAAGCTATGATAATTAACAGACTCCGGAGTGAGAATCTGTGTTGTGATTTTGATGTGCCAACATGTAAGGATAATCTTGAAACGTGATTCGAGACGAAATGAGGTAGCTCAATCGAGCAAGATGATGCGAAATACACCTTGCAGGCAGAACAGAAGTTCAAACACCAGGGAACAGTGAACTGTGCAAATGCTAACTCCCACAGTCATATACGACCCAGCGAATGATGCTACTATTAGTGAAATGTTATGCATGGACCAATTATTGTATTACTGCACTACGCTGTACGATCTGACAAAACATGTGTCAGAAAGCTGAACTGAAAATGACAAAAATGTATGGAATATGTCATGAATGGAGAAATAATCTCAGATCGAGACTGAGATTGCCATAAAGAGCAAAGTGACGCAAAATGCACATTCCATGCACGGCAGCAACTCAAATACAATGAAGCAGCGAACTGCACCCTCCCCGGAAACACCCAAAAAGGAGCTAAATTAAAATATCCTTACACACTGCCCCTTTGCTTCCAATTGTATATGGAGCCATTTAAGCACTTGCAATTCCAGAAGCATCTGGCATCATTCCATTCCCTAAAGCCACCTTGTTCTCACTACGACCGATGCTACAGGATGAAATAACCCACAACTCCAAGATACGACTGATTTAAATTCACTACATTCAACGACAGATA